ATGTAAAGACGTTGTGGTTGATGCCACAGAAGGAGAAGCTAAACGGTTAAATAAACTGGGGAAGTGTCGTTCAAGAATTAACAAGGGCAAATGTTCTCTTGAATGTGGGCCTGATACGGATGCCGATCAACACTGTCAAGGGGCTCCAGCATCCCGTGAGGAAAAAGTCAGTAGCCTTAAAACTGGTTTGGTTCATGTTGCAAGGAAGATGCCTAAAAATGCCCATGCACATTTTATACTTGGCCTAATGTATCAGAGGTTGGGTCAGCCACAAAAGGCAGTGCCAGCATATGAAAAGGCAGCAGAAACATTACTTTGGAGTGAGGAAGAGATTGATAGGCCTGAGTTACTTTCTTTGGTTCAAATTCATCATGCACAATGCCTCCTGCTAGGAAGTACAATTGATCATTGTGCCGATAAAGAACTCACGCATGAAGAACTTGGAGAAATTATTTCTAAGTTGACGGAGTCAGTGCAATCAGATATTAGACAAGCATCTGTCTGGAATACACTTGGTTTATTACTTATTAGAACCGGCCGTCTACAGAGTGCTATATCGGTTTTATCCTCTTTGTTGTCTATTGCTCCCGACCACTTGGACTCTCTTGCAAATCTTGGGATTGCTTATCTTCAAAGTGGTAGCTTGGAGCTGTCAATGAAATGTTTTCAAGATTTGATTCTAAAAGATCAAAACTATCCTGCGGCCCTAATCAATTATGCATCTCTTCTTTTGTGTAAATATGGTTCAGTTGTTGCAGGTGCTAGGGAAAGTGCTGGTGAAGGAGCTTGTATGCCTCATGTTGCGGCTGCAAATGTTGAAAAAGAGTGTTTGTTAGCTGCAGTCAGATCAGATCCTAGGGCTGCACATATCTGGGTGAATCTTGCTAATGCATACTATTTGGCTGGTGATCATAGAAGTGTTGGAAAGTGCCTGGAGAAGGCAGCAAAACTAGAGCCTAATTGCATGTCAACTTGATATGTTGTTGCGCTTCATCATATCAAGGATGCAAAAAGGTCTCAAGATCCCACTGAACAACTTTCATGGGCTGCGAATGAAATGGCTTCAATACTCAGAGAAGGGGACTCTGCAACAATTGAGCTTCGGATAGCATGGGCAGGACTTGCCATGGTTCACAAGGCTCAGCATGAAATTGCAGCAACGTTTGAAACTAGACATAATGATTTGACGAAAGTGGAAGAGCGAGCTCTGTACACACTAAAGCAGGCAATAGAAGAGGATCCAGATGATGCAGTTCAGTGGCACCAGCTTGGCCTTCACAATCTTTGTACTCTACGGCTCAAGACATCTCAGAAGTACCTTAAGGCTACAATTGCCCGCGACAAAGAATGCAGCTACGCATGGTCAAATCTTGGTATCCCACTGCAGCTGTCTGAGGATGAACCCTCTTCATTGGAACCCGATCCAGGAGGGCAAAATCATTCCACCTATCCGGGATTCCTTTGACTGTGTTTCAAGTCACCTATCCTGAATTCGAGCTTGAGGACAAGCTCTTAGTCCAGGAGGGGAGTAATGATGTGGACGCGTTTATTGGGAAGAAGTATCGCCGCCGGCAGCAACAGTAATTGGGTGTTCTCAGTTCTCATCTTATCTAATTCCAGCTAGATACAGTTCTATCTTATCTATTCAGCATTCTTATCTTATCTGTTTTCAG